GGTGTTATGACAATGAATAAAAGTCTTGAATTTGCTAAACAACTCATCAGACGCATGGGAATTCAGGGTAGAATGGAGCAGACTTGGTGTCCTGTGCATGAATCCCTTAAAATTGGTTTTGTATCGTGTGGCTGTACTCATAAGATACAGCAAAACCTCTTTAATTCATACTAATTTGGGGATTTGAATGAATGAGTTTTAAATAAATGAACACTTATTGATCATTTACACAAAGAAATTAAATTTAGATTAACTTACTGAATAATCAGGTTAAGGGGACCTGTTTTAATGGAAAGGATAATATTAATTTATGATGAAGATCAATTACATGCAAATGAAAACCAAGAGATATAGTCCACAGCATCAATTTGCTTAACTAAGCCATTCTGCCCACTTGGTGGAAAGGTAAACTTTAGCCTGAATTCCCACACATCCCAAATTAGTACAGTCCCGGTTTAATGAGGTTTTACTGTGTGAGCACAGTTTGCTTCTGCCTGTGTCATAAAGATGTCATACAAGGATACACATTTACATTTGAATTGAGTAGTCAGTCAACACCACAGCAATTTTCTTTGAGGCCTTCTGCAGCTCACTTTTTGGTTCTCGGTTAAATAACGTCATCTCTTTTTCTGTTTAAGGGATTTAAGGACAATGTCTATCGACAGAGAAGAAAGTATTTTGTGGATGTGGCCATGAGTTATAAATAGTAAGTACCTGTGTAACTGTTTTCGGCAACTTGTCACTGGCTGGTTAGAAAAGCACATGCTGTGTTAAACAGACCCACCTTCTCTTCGCTTTGACTTTTCCGAAGGCAGATAGGAACCATTTTAAACACTCTCCAACTCTGTGGGCATCATGCCAAGTGCTGCATTTTCACCATTGTGTTCACAGCTCCACGAAGGAGCCACTTTTGTCCACTCTGCAGGGCCCAGAAACTGTGTTTTCATTTTGCTTTTGATTTGAGTTTTCCGTAACCTCCCTCAATGTCTAGCGTCCCCAATGAAAGTAGGGTATTCAGCGAGTTTTCCGTAACCTCCCTCAATGTCTAGCGTCCCCAATGAAAGAGATGTGTTTGCTTTGTGTGGAAAGGGAAACTTCCTGGAAATTGGAGAATTTCAGACCCAATCCTGGTTGAGGGTGGGGAGGAAATGAAAGAACCTAAGGATTGGGGTGAGGACCGTGCATTGTGCATGGTATTAGATGGCCGTGACAGGGTACTGCGACAGGCGATGATGTAGTGTGTTGACTGCAAGCCGTGTCTAGAAAAATGGAGTATACGGTAGGCCTCTATGTATTCTGGTCACAACAATAAAACTTGTAGCCCATCATGGTGCTGCCTTTACTTTGTCTGGTATGTGATCAGCTACATAAATCTGTCATCAGGACAAAATATAAATCCTACCTGGCAGGAAAGATTCTTTCTTATTCTAGTTGAGACTAGGTGAGACACTCAATTGTCCTGTGGGGCAAGTTTGTCCTTGGTGAGAAGTTAGGACTTTACATGTGTTATACAAGGTATCAGTGTTTCCTTCCCTCCCTCCCTCCCTCCTTCCTGCCCTCCTTCCTTTCTTTCTTTTTTAAGGAATATGACACACAGGTGCTTAAGGCAAAAATGGGAGGATTTCATGCCACACCTCTGATTGGGCCAGTCATTTGCTCATTTCTAACTTTCCCGGATGCTCTGGTGCTCTTCCTTTCCTCCTACCAAACCCCATGCATCCTTCATTCTTCCTCTAGTATGTTTTTAATCCTGAAAACCAGGACTACTTGGCACATGCTTTTCCACATGTGTCTTCTCCATTCTCATCTCTTCTGTTCCACGCAGCTCCTTGACCCTTTTTTAACTACTGTGACCTTCTACCCCCTTGCAATGTCAGTGTGCTGATGGCTTGTCCAGGCCCAAGCCCAACCTCCTGCCACCTTAAGCCCTCAGCGCTGTCTCTCTCTAACCTTGTCTTCCAGTGTTTCCCTGTCAGGTTGCCAAGACAGCACTCTGATGGCCGTGCTCACTTTTTCACATCAGGCCCTGATCAGTGGTCATGAGTGTTAAGATGAGCTCCCTGCCCAGCGGCATGGCTCAGTGGTTGAGCAGTGACCTGTGAACCAGGAGGTCACCAGGTTCGATTCCCAGTCAGGGCACATGTCCAGATTTCGGGCTCGATCCCCAGTGTGGGGTGTGCAGGAGGCAGTCGATCAATGATTCTCCTCATCATTGATGTTTCTATCTCTCCCTCCCCCTTCCTCTCTGAAATCAATACAAAAATATTAAAAAAAAATAAAAAGACGAACTCCCCTAGGTTCACAGACCCTGCCTGTGGAACCAGGCCATGCCTGCAGAGGTGGGTCCTTAGAAAGGGGTGGGCAGGACATGCCTTTGGGACCTGAGGGGACACAGTCAAAGCTTAGGGCTTGGCAGAGCCTTTTCCTTTAGATAAAAGATAGATACAAATGTATTTCATATGCAGTATATTATATATATGGTGGTATATAAAGGATTTTGTTAGCATAGTGATCAAGGAGCTAGCTCAAATGTCATTTATTTCTTCTTGACAGAGCCCACGCTGGACAAAGGCAAGCTGGTATTGTGATGACACTAATAGAATTGATATATATGAGTCAACCCGTTTTAAGAAGCATTGTTATGGGGAGTCCTTTGGCGTTAAAGGAAACACGTTTATATAGAGAGGAGGGGAAACAGGCACATAGTAGAAATGATGGAGGACGAGGCTCTCAAAGTATTCACAAGTTTGCCTTTGCCATTTTCCCTTAGCGCAAGAGGGACACGGAGATATGGTGTCTATTGGAAACACAAGTCCAAATTGGAGGCTGGAAATGGTGGAGATTTTATACAAAGGTGGGCTGGCTGGGGCCGGAGGGAGCTGCAGTATTCCAGGGTCCGGCCCCAGCTTACAGAGTGGGACTGTATTCAGGGTCCAGGGCCTGATTCTCCGGAACCGAAGGTTCAGGAGGCAGAGGTAGGCAGGACACCGGTGAGTCATCATGTCACAGGGAGAAACTACTCCCATAGGACTCACGCCCGCTTCCTGCTGTCATGACACCAGTGAGGCCAGATGATAACCTGAAGGCTATTTTGGAGACACAGTCAAAGCAGAGGATATTTAAGAGAGTTTGGGATCCAAGACCATTGCAACCCTCTCCCCTGGACAGTGCTGACTCAGGCCGAGTGCCCAGAATAACAGGATGGGAAACTGGGCCATCGGATCCAGACTATCTGGGGCTGGAGTCCTGACTCCACGGCTTCCTCCTGGGGTGATCAACATCACCGCGCCCCAGTTTCTTCATCGGGGAAGAGTGTCTAACAATAGAACCCATCTCGCGGGGCTGGTGTAAGGACTATGAAAGAGAACCCATGGCTGTGCTTTGCACAGTGCCTAGCACGTGATTTGTGATCATAACTGTCAGTTATTATTACATCCTCCCCTTTCCCTTGTCCACAGACTGTCTTCAGTTTCCAGGTGACCTATTGTTTAATTCCTTAGCTGTGTTAACACCATTGTTCTTGCTGCCACCTTAACAAATACTGTAGTTCAAGTGTCCCTGGAAGTAATCCTGGGAATAAAACTCCTTCGGTTTCCCACTTAAAGACTGTTGTGTCTACCGATGCATTTTGTGCGGACCGACATCCTTCTTTGTGGAGAGATTTCATAGCGAGCAGTTACGTTCCCATGTGTGTGTGTGTGGGAAGCTGCAAATACTGATACCAGATCGCCAGTTGCCTCGGGTGCTTCTTGTCGTGGACAGAGTGGGGAAGGTGCCCAGGGAGTGCTTCAGTCAGGGACTTGTGGGACGGAGAGAGAGAGTGGTCACTGCTTAGTGTCCGTCAAGCCATCACTGCTGTGGCTTCTCCGGGTATGAGTGAGGATGGATACGGGCCAGCCATTTCTGTGTGTGTAAATACATATGTGTTTGTGTGCAAATACCTGTGTGTTTGCAAGCTGAGGGCAGGGCTCAGGCTTGTATTCAGGTGCTGGTGGGGGTGGGGCACAGGTACTAGCAAGTCCCTAGTGGGGCCTGGGTCATCATCTCCAGCTCGCCACGCGGTAAGTGAGGTTTTTATTTTATTTTTTATTTTTTATTTTATTGATTTTTTACAGAGAGGAAGGGAGAGGGATAGAGAGCCAGAAACATCGATGAGAGAGAAACATCAACCAGCTGCCTCCTGCACACCCCCCACTGGGGATATGCCCGCAACCAAGGCACATGCCCTTGACCAGAATCGAACCCGGGACCCTCCAGTCCCCAGGCCGACACTCTATCCACTGAGCCAAACCGGTCAGGGCGAGGGTTTTTTTTGTTTTGTTTTGTTTTTTTTGAGGTTTGCTTTTATTTGACAAAAAATAAAGCTACAGTTTCTGGTTGAAATAGATCTTTTTTCCGGTGCTAATGGCTTTCTGAGTGAGCAAAGGAAAAAGATGTCGATACAATAATTACTTAAAATAAGCACGTTTGAGTGGCTTCTGGCCGAGTGCTGGGATCTGATTTCCAAGCCAAAGCTTGAACCACAGGTCTGAGAAGCAGATCATTTGAAACTGGGTGGTGCTGGAAACCCCCAGCGCGTGGGGTCCCCGCAAACATAGTTTGGTGATAAAATTAGAGACCAGTCTGACATGGGGAGACCAATTCAACTTCCTGTTGATAGTTCGTTAAGGCTTTCAGGACACGGAGAAGAAGTCAAATATATGGTCGGAAATATAGACAAAGACGGAGCAGAGATGGTTTGGGGGTGCCGTAGGGATTGGCGGGATGTCGTCTGAGGGGTGCACAGGGGAGGGAAGGAAAAGATATGAAGTACCGAATCATATCTATTGAAACATGGCCAGGAAGCCCTCTGGGGCATTTGTGTTGAATACTGTATTTTCTGTGATAGTCTTGAAAGGATAAAGCAGGGGGGAAGAATCAACACATGCAGAGGAAAATGAAACAATTCCACTCTGTGATGAGAAAACAGCAGGCTCGAAGTCCATATAACCACGAGCCTGAGAGAGGAGAGGGCCCGGGGACCGTGCCAGCACACTGAGAACTGTCCATAGGTGCCACTCAGGTGCGTCCCTGATTGACAGCGCTGCCGAGAAACATGATGGATTACTCAGAGGCCCGCTGCCGCCTGCAGACATGCCTGAGCGCTGTGGCCACGCGTGTCAGTGAGACCTAGCTGCCTCCCCAATAACAGCAGAGGAAGCATTCATTAGTGCAAATATCAGTCTCCCGAGAAGCCCTGAGAATGAAGGCCCTGGAATGACAGGGCAGTGTTTTAATATCATGTGCAATGGATGCGGGTCGCAGCCTGTCCTCCCCAACCCAAAGGAAAGAAATCGGAGTGTAAACAAGCACAGAGGACCCCGGGAGGAGATATGTGAAGCGCATACAGACTCGCAGTCACTGGCAATGGAAGTGCGTGGGGGGCAGACGGCATGTGGAGGAGGGGAAATGATGACTGTGATGTTGGAGCTATAGGTTTGTGTGATACTCTCCAGGTTTCTGTCATTGTCACCTTCATATTTTAAGCTTGACATTAGCTTTCCTGCATTTCTGTGGGTTTCACAATTGCTATGTTGTTGGAGGAAAAATGAGTAATACAGGTTTTTTTTTCCTGGTTGACTAGAAATAAACAGATTTTTCTTTGGGGGCTATTATAATGATTATTCTCCAACAATATGCATGCATATTTAATTTAATTATATTAGT